AACAAAACAGTAGCTGATTCAGAAGCGCCAGATTGTCATAGCAAAGTCAGAATTACCTCCTCTCCTAGGTTCACGAAACGGTCGTCCATAAAATGTATTGCTGTTCTGTTGTAAGTAATCTTAAAGATTCCTAAATGCATCTACTTTCGGAAGGCCAAATAAAGTGCTTTTGCTTTCGCCTAGAAACACACAGCGTCTCCCTGACATGGCTGCTTCAACACTAACTGCGGTTACTGAAACCACGCCTTCTTTCTTTGCGTGCACATTTGAGCGGCATTATGCAAATATTTCCACATAGTGAGGTAGATATGTGGGGGCGTGTTAGAACGAGACGTTTTAGGGGGGCGTGGCAGGCTCTTTACTTTGATAAAGAATATCTTTGGTTTTGAGACTTTAGTCTTTGCAACCTCAGGGATCTTATCTATGCACAATCAGCTTGTAACACTCCAAAGAGAAAGGAAAACTTGAAATCGCATCATATGACCCTTTTAAAACTGCTGACATCTACAGGCCAACAGGAAGCAAGCCTTTTGTGTCATCAATAAAACGTGTCATTTTTTATTGAAGTGCATAAACAGATGGCATTAATACTCACAGACAGTGCATTCGTCACCGTTCTGGCCCCATCCAGAACAACATATGGGAGAAGAATCCCTATTGAGAAAATATAGCAGACAGTATAGAATGTATTGAATCTGTGTTGACATAAAACGTTTATAGATCAAAAATACAACATTTTACAACTTAAGAAACCGCATAGAAAAGACAAATTGCAAATGACATCTCTTAAATATCAATTGTTTCTCCTTGACGGCAATGAGATTCAGTGGAAAACAATTTAGTAATTCAGTCTCCTACTTGACACATTTTTTTTTTGTCCTGACAAGAGTTTCAAAAGATATCTCAACAGTATCTCAAGCTGACCTCAAAATATTTAATGTCAAATTCCTTTAAGACTTTAAAATGATCTTGGCTATGTGATCCACATTCATTTAAAACTATAACTGTATGAAAACAGTGACACATTTACTTTTATTTTTCCTGAAGAATTTATGTAGAAACATCTGAGACAAAGATACTTCAGTACCCGGCACTGAGGCAGACGTTTTTCCCGGTCGGAGAGAGTCTCTGAGCTGAGCACTGGACACACGTGAGCATCAGTCCAAATGAGGTCAGAAAGGTGTCCATCCCCCTCTGGACCGACCAAAACCGGACCCCCTCTTCTACCACAGCACCAGTACAGGTTAGTTCTGTACTTCTAGAACAGACAAGATCCAGTCCAGTCTCTATAGCAAAATGGGCTCTCCAAATCCTTTTGTTTCCTCTGCAAGTTTCCTGAGGAAGAAAAGCCAACTTCCTCTCATTCAATATGCCACTGGTTGTTTAAAGACAAATTTTGTGGGAGGAATTGGGTATTTTTAATGGTCAATGTGTCTGCCAACATTTTCTCATCCTTACCAATTACTTTTATACATTAAAATACAAATATTTTTTAAAACTCACACACGCACAAATGTCACAACACCACCTCTGGATTTTATTTAGCCTTATAGCACTTTCCAGTAACAAGCATTTTTACAAAAATAAAATACACTAGTAAAAAATCAATATGGGACTCATTAACTTTTATTTCCAAACGTCCAAAGATAAACAGATGAGTCACAAGACAGCTAAGGAATATGGAATTCAGCTACAGGCCTTTGAAACATATGGGCACCCATTATCTCTAATTTCCTTCGGAGGAAACACAGACTTCCTCTCAATCAGGGAACACCTTAAGACTCATACAAAGTATTGAATCATGTCCATACGTTTTTGCCTCTTTTTTCAACAAAAAAGCTATGTGACACACACGTCTGATCAGTTGAATGGCTGAAGAGGGCAGTGTCAACTCATTAAAAAGGTAGTTCACCAAAAAAAAAAACATTCTGTCATCATTTACTCACCCCAACATTCTTCAAAATATATTCTTTTGTGTTCTGCAAAAGAAAGTCATACAAAGTTGGAACAACACGAGAGTGAATAAAAGATGACAAAATTTTCAGACAATAAATTTGCATCTTTTTTCTTACATGTTTACATGCTTTTTTTTTACATCGGGTTGACATAATCATGGACATCACAGAACTGACAGGACATTAATATCATATGTTATCTGCCAATATTAAAATATTTCTATTAAAAACATGCTAAATATCCTTAAAATCGATACAAAATGGACACTTTTTAAGGACAGCTAATGTTTTATAAGATAGTATACTGGAAGAACATGAATACAAAATACTCTAATGCCCCCTAGTGACATAAAGGGTCAGTGTGACAGTCATGGCAATACAATGTCAGTATCTTTGGTTAAAATCCATATTAAATATACTCTCTATAAAAATAGCTGCTATAATTCTTTGTAGCGTCCATCCAGACATCTATAATATAATGCCAGATGTATTATGATTATCAAAACACTGCAGATTATTCCCATGTTTTTAAGTGCACCAGTCTGCAGTCATTTGCACCACCAAGTGAAATGACAATAATGATTGTTTCAAACCCTTCCACCCATCCCTTCCAAGTCAATTTCCCGATAAACAGCTTATTACAGGTAGCCTTGCCCCAAATGCTTGCCATTGCTTCAGTCATAAGTTGGGCCCTGAAACAGCAATGTTTTGAAAGTGCCACAAAACCTTTGTTTATACTCTTTGGAAAATCAACAAAATGTATTACTAACAGTTGGCTTTGCATATTGAACTCGGATAGGAGAAAGTGAAAAAAAATTCAACAGTTAGTCTTTAACTGTATATACCCTACTGTTCAAAAGTTTGGGGTCAGTAAGACTTTCTCTTTTTCTAAGAAATGATTACTTTTATTTAGCAAGTACACATTAAATTGATCAAAAGCTGCAGTATCTTTTGAAATGTCTATTCATCAAAGAATCCTGAAAAAATGTTTCCACAAAAAAAGCAGCATAAGCGTTTTCAACTGTATTAATAAGAAACGTTTCTTAAGCACCATATCAGTGTGGTAGAAAAATTTCTGAAGGACCATGTGACACTGACGACTGGAGTAAAAGTCAGCTTTACAGGGTAAAAATCATATTTAAAAATATATTCAAATTAAAAACAGTTATTGTAAAATTACAGCTTTTTTACTAAATAAATGCAGCCTTAGTGATTAAAAGATTTTTTTCAAAAACATTAAAAGTTCTTACTGACCCTACATTTTTAAATGGTAAACAAGAAACAATAACAATATGTGTATGACTGACACAATCTGATCTCATTTTCAGATCATCTGTGACACTGAGTGACCATCAGGCACAAATCTAGCTATCAGCTAATTAACAAAAGCCAAGTGCTGAATGATTTTATATTGAGAAAAAGGTCAGCTTAGGCAACAACTATTAATACTATGTTTGTATAACCAAATACAAGAATAGTCCGTTCTCCGGTTTGAAACCTAAATCAAATAAAGAACATATTTTGAACTTCTCTCTTCCAACCCAGGTGAAGATGAGTGGCAGTTGCGGTGGTTCTCAAGAGGAGCTGAGGGTCTGTGTCTCCTCCTCGCCTCTTTGCTCGTCTGGATCAAGGATTTCCCATGTGGAGCTGGATGTTGGAAGGCCGGAAGGCTGAGAACCAGAGCTCTTAGTAAGACTGGACGGCGTCAGGAAACCAAATCTAAAGGTTTGAATCAGAGGAGATAAGAGAGCTCTCAATCACTTATAGAAGAATGACAGAGGGGGATTTCTTTTGTACTGTAGTAGCTAGTCTGCATGCTCAGTTACTGAGGTTACGAAGCCAAAGAGCGAAATGTGATCAAGAGATCTTTAAAATCAGCTTAGGGTTTCACCAAGAATATATAGTATGAATGCTGCCAAAATATACAACACAAATTAATACACACTATACACAGAGAAGAGAGTGGATGCCCTATAAAAGCCTTATTTTAAAAAATGTGGAATACATGAGGCTCTCAAACAGAAATCAATCGTTTTAATACTTGAAGTCTCAGTCTTGTTACCAACATACATTTTAAGGGAAAGTATAAGAAGACTATGCAATCCAACCTGCCCCACAAGCTTCACTGCAAAAATGTCTGTTATGTAACATAAAAATGTGGTAAAAATGTAAACAAAAATCTCAATGTCTGTCAGGTAACCCAAATGTAAATGTAAACCTGAATTGTTTACAAAAAATGTAAATGTAAAACAAAAATGTCTGTCGGTTAACCTAAATATGTGCTAAGAAATGTAAACAAGAAATGTGCATTTAAAAAATGTCTGTCTGTTAATCTATAAAAGCGGTAAAAAAAAGCCAAAAAATGTAAATGTAAAAAAACATCTCAATTATTTTTGGTAACGAAATTAAATTCATTCCTGAATATTCTTTAATATGGAATCATTATTCAGAATGAGTCAACATTAAATTAAACAACTGAAAGTCATTTTTAAGGATAAAATCAGGTAGATTTGCTTCTTAAAGGAGTGTAATTTTTGCACCACTAGCAGCAACATCTTTTATACAACATATGTGACCCTGGAGCACAAAACCAGTCTTAAGTCGCTGGGGTATATTTTTAGCAAAAGCCAAAAAACCATTGTATGGGTCAAAATTATAGATTTTTCTTTTATGCCAAAAATCATTAGGATATTAAGTATCGATCATGTTCCATGAAGATATTTTGTAAATTTCCTACCGTAAATATATCAAAACTTAATTTTTGATTAGTAATATGCATTGCTAAGAACTTCATTTGGACAACTTTAAAGGCGATTTTCTCAGTATTTCGATTTTTTTTTGCACCCTCAGATTCCAGATTTTCAAATAGTTGTATCTCAACCAAATATTTTCCTATCCTAACAAACCATACATCAACGGAAAGCTTATTTATTCAGCTTTCAGGTGATGTATAAGTCTCAATTTAAAAAAATTGACCCTTATGACTGGTTTGGTCCAGGGTCACATATTTTAACTGCATTAGCACCAAGAAGAATTTCTGCTGTTGATCAAAAACTACATCTTAAACTACAAGAACAACTAAATCTTTCACACTCATAATGTTTTTATTGTACCTAAGACTGGTGGCTTATCCTATAGCCCAATCTTGCTGAAACCAGTTTTCAGTGAAGTAGGTTAAGTAGATTCTTGTGCTTTTTAAGTTCTTGCTATAGCTCTGTAGTGTTTAAAGGGGTCATATGATGCTTTTATAAAGATCATTATTTTGTGTATTTGGTGTAACAGAATATGATGACATGCTTTAATGTTCAAAAAACACATTATTTTTCAAATACTGTACATTATTGTAGGTCCTCTATGCCCTGCCTCTCTCAAACGCTTCGTTTTCTACAAAGGCCCTCCTTCCGACAAGCGCAGTCTGCTCTGATTGGCCAGCTGACCCAGTGCATTGTGATTGGCCGAACACCGCAAGCACTCGTTGGAAATGTAACGCCCCTTACCATAATCGCGAGCTTCATCTTTCAAAATAAATGTAAAGACAGAGCCC